GAATTCTTGGGCCTGAGGGGCTTGAGCAGGAGTGCTCAGTGCATGAAATTTGGAGCAGTAAGTCTTGGCCAGTGGGGTGCAAGTAGAGAGGCTTGTTTCATGTGACTTAGAGCACAAGTCTTGGGTTCGTGGAACCTGATCAGGAAGTCTCAAGTGAGGAGATTGAGCAGAAGCCTTGGACCTTGGGTCTGAGCAGGTGTAAAAGTCTTATGCAGAATGCATAGACGATTGTAATCATGGTTTGGTTATAGTGAAAATCTCTTGTGAAACAAGGAGATTTGACTACTCTCAGTTAGGGGAGGAACCAATATAAATCTTTGTGTCTTCTGCTATTATTTATTTGCTTCTATTAACATTCCAATGCTAAGAATTAACCAGAATCTAAACACCAGTTTAGATTCTGACCTCTGATCAGATGCAAACTAAGAAAACAAAAAACACAATTCAACCCCCTTCTTGTGTATTTTTCTCACCTTTATACACGACATCCAAACTCATATGATATAACTTAGCAGCATAACATAGTTAAAAAAAACATAATCAAACATATAAAATTCACATCATTGGTCTCATAAACTCTACTTTAACTTTAAAAATATAAACAAGAGAGTTATATTATTCAGCTCTCAACAACATAAAATCAAAACTCCAACAAACAGTAACAAGTGAAATAAACATGAACAGTTTCCATCCGATGTTACATGATCATAGTAGACCTTACTAAGTAAACAAAAAATAATGGAAGTCACTTCAAGAGCTATCCTTCCACTTACTTTAGTCAAAGATACTCCTGATTATCTGCACGATGCCCATGTAAAGGCAACATTCAAACAGAATGGGTGGGAAATCACAATCAATTATAAAACAAATAACATGAAAGATAGATTGCACTCAAAATAAATATTCACAACAACATATCATATTTCTCAAGCCCAAAATCAATCATCAACAACATTCAACAAGATCATCAACAACAAAACATACAAATGCGATAAGGATGTAATGTATTCAACAACCGACTCGAAAATGCAAGTGGTACCAAACACATGAAATCAAAGCTCCAACAAACAATAACAAGTGAAATAAACATGAATGTTTCCCATCCAATGTTACATAATCAGAGCAGACTTACTAAATAAACAAAACTATTAGAAGTCACTTCAAGAGTTATCCTTCCACTTACTTCAGTCAAAGATACTCCTGAGTATCTGCACGATGCCCATGTAAAAGCAACATTCAAACAGAAGGGGTGAGAAATCATAATCAATTATAAAAGGAATAACATGAAAGATAGATTGCACTAAACATAATCATTCACAACAACATATTGTAATTCTCACGCCCAAAATCAATCATCAACAACATTCAACAAGATCATCAATAACAAAACATACAAATGCAATAAAGATGCAATGTATTCAACAACCGACTCAAAAATGCAGGTGATACCAAAACATGAACTCTCATGGTTTATTTCACTCCCTGATCCACCATCATAGGATCAGGATCCACCACCATAGGATTTGGTTCACTCTTGAACCATAATACAACAAAAATCGTTACCACCACCATAGGTAACACTTCACTAATTCCACCACCATACGAATTATCTACTTGCACCCGAACCACCGCCATAAGATTGAGGCCAAAATATAAATAGAACCAAAGTTCCGATAACATGGATGCATGACTCACAACATGCAACAACAACATCATTAACACATACACATCGGTCCACTCTTGACCGTGTATGCCAACATCAACACTACATCTTCAACATAATTTCATCATGATCATATCTTCATCATAAAAACACCAACACAACAACATCAACACAACCATCTTAATAACACCGTTATATCAACATCGACATAACAACATTATTGTCACACAAAAACTATTCATGTTTAATAAATCATTTATCATTCGCATATATTCATCATTCATCAATGACTTCATCATACCGATTAAAATCATGATAAATCATCAACTGACATCAAAACAACATTACACAACAGCTAATTGCAGCCAACAATCAACAAAACATGAAAAATCGACAATTGCAACTTTCACATAAACAACTTCCATATAACAAACTAAGGCATATACAACATAATTGAATAATATCTTAAATCCATTAAATAATAAACTAAACTCATAAAAATAAAAAAATTGAACAACATAAAAATAAATATAAAAAATTAAAACAAAAATTTATAAATAAAAAAATTAAAATAAAATAAAATAAATCCACTTAAATTTTAAAAAAGAAATTAAAAATTAGAAAAACAAGTCACGTGGTCTGCAAAATCAGCAATTATGAAGATTCCATAGTTGTCAGATCAACACTAAAGAGATAAAAAACCAATTTAAATATTATAAGGGGATTTTTTTTTACACCGGGATAAAATATATTTAACCTTAATTAGATTTATATGATTTTTTTTGAGCTTATACCTTCTTTCTTAAAAAAAAATCAAAATTTGAAAATAAAAACAAATTGCATATATTCGTAACCATTACGATACGCGAAAATATTGTAGGTAAAATTTGCAGAAGGAAACAAAGACCACATCACGTGGTCCAATTTTGAAAAACCCTAATTTAAAATTTCACTCTTTCTGTTCATATCATAACCCCTAAATCACCTACTTTTTACTTTTTATAACTTTTTTTCCCCTTTCCCTTCCCTTCACTTTCATAACACCTTCGTCGGAAACCCACTAACATTTTCGAGTACACATTCTATCAGAGTAATCTAAGAAATGAAGAATATTTAATTACTTATTTAATTAGTTTAATTAAATTTGGGGTTAAAAAATGGAAGCGCGTGCAGGGACGATGGTGGAAGGAGGACAACAAGTTTTAAGTAATCAACAATCGCATATTAGAACGTTGTCTCAGCTTTTCACTGGTGGGGTGGCTGGTGCTTTTGGAAAAACTTGGACTGCTATTCTCTCTCGACCTACCATTATTTTTTAGGTAAATTTAAGGTTACGATTAATGTTTTGAGGGTAAAAGTTGTAATTTTTAGTTTTAAAAAATCATGCTTGGGAAAAAAATTATAAGTCTCTGGTTCAAGTAATGTTGATGTTCCCTTTCGACTTATCTTTTAAGTAAATAAAGATATTGTTTTTCGACTTATCTTTTAAGTAAATAAAGATATTGTTTCCTGTCGAACCGAGAGTAAGACCAATGTGCGTCGAATCTAAGACACGATACTTGTTTTGAAGTTTTCTTTCAACACATAACTCATGGATGTATATGCAAGAGCAAATATTTATGTTAAAGTAGAAGAACGTATGCATATAAATAGAAATCAACATAAAAACTATACTTAGGAGGACCAAATTTATAATACGGAATTGTCTCGGTACACATTTCCCAACAAAAATTCATGGACATAAATCCTAGAAAGTATGAATAACTGATCTGGATCATGACTTAATGTAATACCCAAGCATGCGTTTATAATACTATTAATGATAATTTCTATTCACTCAATGTTATCTACTTTTGACGGTGTGGGTTCAATACTACCCTGGTTGGCAGAAAAACTTTCTTTCACGTTTGTACCACCCGTAACTTTTTGAACTTCAATCTCTCAAATTTCCAACTGATTTGAATTTGTGTAGCTTAATATACCCAACAAATTCAATTTCTGTATCATAAAAATAACATAAATACAATCCAAAATTAAAATACGCAAACAATAATAACAACAACAAACATCTTATAACTCTATTCTCTCGTTTTTTTTTAAAATTGAAGTAAGTGATTTTTTATTTTATTTTTTAAAAATAAAATTTGACACATCTAATATGTATACTCTCGTTTTTTTTTTATTATTTGAGGTATTAATTTTGTCATAAAAACGTTATTTATTGTTGTGTGAATTGATTTGTGTCCCTTCAATCTTGATGAGGCAAGTTTGCTTGTGTTTTTCTCCATTATAATTTATGTTATCTGGGTTGATGTTTTTAAGGTGTACGTTTTTTTGGTTCATTTTGTTTTCTTTATCCTTGTTTTCATGTTCCCATGTTCACACTCTTCACTAATAACATACTAAATTGACAAAGTATAATAATGAATAACATAATTAAACGATATTATTAAAAAGGATAATAAATAAGCAAATAAAATAAGTAGAAAAATAAAAATAAACAATAGAATAAAACAATTTGAACAATAATACAAATTGATGATATAAAATAAAATGACCAAAATAATTAAGTAATTATTTGCGTACCAATTTCTTTGCATAATATATAATGGGGCTAAACATAAATAGAAAAATAGAAACAAACAATAAAAGAAAAAACTTAAATATGTTAATAAATTTTTTAAATAAAAAAATTGAACAATATAATTGAATAATACCTTAAACCCATTAAATAATATACTAAACTGATATTAAATAAAACAATTGAACAACATAAAAATATAATATAAAAAAAAAATTAAAACAAAAACTAAAATAATAAAAAAATTTTTAAAAATAAAAATAAATCTACTTGCCACGTCACCATTAAAGGGATAAAGAAAAACAAAATCTAAATCTAAGAAATAAATATCTTTTACACGAGGATACAATACATTTAACCTTAATAGATTGATAGGATTTTTTTTAAGCTTAGATCTTTTTTCTTAAAATAAAAAAATCAAAATTTGAAAATAAAATCAAATTTCATATATTCGTAACTTTTACGATAAGCGAAAATATTGTAGGCAATATTAGCGGAAGGAAATAAAGACCTGGTCCAATTCCGAAAAACCCTAATTCAAAATTTCGCTGTTTCCGTTCCTATCATAAACCCTAAATCACCCACCCTTTTCTTTTTATAACTCTTTCTTTCCCTTTTACCTTCCCTTCACTTTCATCACACCTTCGACAGAAACCAACTCAACGTTTCCGAGTATACATTCCGTTCGAGTAATCTAAGAAACAAAGAATATTTATTTATTTATTTAATTAGTTTAGTTAAATTTGGGGTGAAACAATGGAAGCGCGAGCAGGGACGGTGGTTGAAGGAGGACAACGAGTTTTGAGTAATCAACAATCGCAGATTGGAACGGTATCTCAGCTTTTTGCCGGTGGGGTGGCTGGTGCTTTTGGAAAAACGTGCACTGCTCCTCTCTCTCGACTCACCATTCTTTTTCAGGTAAATTTAAGGTTACGGTTACGATTCATGTTTTGAAGGTAAAAGCTGTAAATTTTAGTTTTGAAAAATTATGCCTTGAGGAAAATTATAAGTATCTGGTTCAAGTAATGTGGTAGTTTGAATGTAAAATCTATTCTACTCGAGAAAGGCGTGAACAATAAGAATGAGAAGTTGTGTAGTTCTTAAGAGGCTGAATTCAATTATTCATAATGATAGTATAGATTATCAGGAAGGGCTTTTTTCACATGTTAGTTTAATGTGTTGAATCTTTCTTTTCTATTTTCTATCTAGAAAGAAGACCGGGAGATTTTATGGGAAGAAGAGTATGATGGAGAGAAGTCAAACAACTAGATGTAGAGGAAGATCTATAAGATTTATAAGAGAATTTTTTATTTTTTATATCTCGTTATCTAGAAAGTCTCTAAGAGAATTTTTAATTTTTAAATTCTGGTATTCGGCCTTGGTATCCGGCCTTGCAATGGACTAATTCAAGGGACCAATCCCACCATCTGCCTGTGGGGGCAGTTTAAAGCCCGGATTCGAATATGAGACTTTGAGAGGAGCACACTCTTAGTACCCAAGTTTCCACCACTAGGCCAACCCCTAAGGTTAAACATGTAAAATCACAAAATTTGGTCCCAATAGGTTTTGAACCCAACACCATTCCCTATGGCATGCAATTTAAGAGAAGTTATTAAGAAACATCTTGAGATTAACATTTTGATGAAACATTATGGAGAAAGTTGATCCATGTAGCTTACCCCACACCCACTTAGTGGTATAAGGCTTGATTGTTGTTGTTGTATGTTAGCGGTACACTCTTTCCAACTCACACTTGTTTATTTGTTGATTTTCATACTGGTACTGTTAAATTTAGGCAGAGGCCTATCTGAATTTTATTCGATAGCAGAGTGTTTGTTGGAAAGACGGTTAAAGAGTGTGTTGCTAACTTGCTAGCACTTATCTTTTTCGAACAATGGTGATGTTGAAATTTGAATTATTCTCTTATTCAAACTAACCAAGCCTCTGAGTTACTACTAGACTAGCAAAATTCTTTATTTGAAGGCAAGAGTTATTCAATATTTAGCCTATTATTTCTCTAGCTTGATTGTTTTGTTGAAAAGTTGAAAAATTGAAGAGATTGTCTGCTGCTAATCATGATTGTTCAATGACATTTAATAATACTGTATTTTAATGTATGTTGATTGTTTCATTAGGAAGGTATGATTATGTGTCCATCATAAAACCTTGTAGATTCCAATGCATTTCGTTTAACATGTGTTTATATGAATAATTTACGTGTCTTAACTTTATCAGGTGCAAGGTATGCATTTTGATGTTGGCCATGTCGCAGCACTAAGTAAACCTAGCCTTTTGTATGAGGCTCAACGGATTGTTAATGAAGAAGGATTTAGAGCATTTTGGAAAGGCAATTTGGTGACAATAGCTCACCGTCTCCCTTATTCTGCAGTCAATTTCTATACCTATGAATGCTACAAGAATGTATGCTCTAGTGCTCTATCCATATGTGTGCAGTTCAGAATTTTTTGCATATGTTCCGTATGTTTGTATCAATCTTATGGTCATTTTGTTTACTTTTCAGCTATTGCATTCTGTTCTGGGGGAGAATCATAGAGCAAAGGCTAGTAGTGACGTCCTTGTGCACTTTGTCAGCGGTGGTATGTCAGGCATGACAGCTGCTTCGGCTTTATATCCATTGGATTTAGTTAGAACACGACTTGCCGCACAGGTAATTGCGGCTTTTTGTTGAACTTTATGACAGCATCTTTAAGCCTTCAGTTGTTTGTAATAACTATCTCTTAGCTACATTTTAAGTAGCACTTATACAATTTGTAATAACTCTTCTGTTTGAGTTTGTTTTTACTGAGAGTTGAGACTGTTATGCTTTGTTTTCATTGCAGAGAAATGTCATATACTACAATGGAATGTCACATGCTTTCAGTACCATTTGTAGAGAAGAAGGATTCTTTGGAATGTACAAGGGACTTGGTGCAACATTGTTGGTATGTTCATGTTGCATATATACCTCCTCTGTTTTGTTACTTTATACTAATATTGATCCCTGCTTTATCTTACAACTTTTATTATTACTTATTTTGTATGGTACAGGGTGTTGGGCCTAGCATAGCTCTAAGTTTTTCCGTTTACGAGAGCCTGCGTTCTTCTTGGAAGTCTCAAAGGTGAGTATCTGTACTTGCAATGAATTGAGGTGCTCTTTATGCTAAAGGATACTTCCTCTTGCTTGGTACATATATGGTTTTGTCAATATTAATGGTGTATATCTTTTTTTAATTTAGGCCAGATGATTCTACTGCCATGGTCAGTCTTGCTTGTGGAAGTCTTTCAGGCATTGTATCATCAACAGGTTGGTGCTTATTGGCTGTTGCTACCTCTAATTTCTCAAAAATGTTTGTTTAGCTTATAATAAAATTGCGTATGTACAGTAAAATAATAATTGCATGTGATTGTTGAATACTAGTTTTGTGCTGGTGGAATTTTTCTGTTTGGTGACTTGATGCTGTGCGATTTATTATGTAAGCTAACTTTGTTGCATGATGCACATGTGCGATTATGAAACCCTTAGAAAAACAAGGATGAATCCAAATATGGCCGTTACATGAAAACTAGCCGCCTAGAAAAAACCAGGCGTGTAAATCAGGATTGCATAATCAAAATCAATTAGTAGACTAAAAAATTCAATAGTTTTGTTAAAAATTGCCTGTGGTTGGTGTGGTGGTATAAGCACTTGCAATGCTGTTCGAAGTTGTGCATACGTGGTGAGTTAACGTTGTGCATATTATGATACAATCTGACTATCTTGCATGATACACACTCGCCTCACTTGAAACATATTATGCTTTAATACTGTTATGAATCTGGTAGTTGTGAATATTGATTGTCTCTTCCAGAGAACCTGTAGGATAGAATCTAGAAAAGTATATCAAATAGCAACTTCCACATTTCAATGACTTATTCTTGCTTAACATTGTGTGATTAACTGTCTCTTGCAACTTGCAGCAACATTTCCGTTGGATCTAGTAAGGCGAAGGATGCAATTGGAAGGGGTTGGTGGTCGACCTCGTGTCTATAATACCAGTTTGTTCCGGACATTTGGTCACATATTTCGGAATGAAGGTATACGAGGTTTATATAGAGGCATTTTGCCCGAGTATTACAAGGTTGTTCCCGGCGTTGGCATTGTCTTTATGACCTATGAGACATTGAAGACCCTTCTTTCCAGCTTTCAAAATCGTTAGCACACAGCATTTTACATCATATATGATAGCAATCATTTTAGTTATTATACTTGGTAGGAAATTTTGTGCATGAATAGAGCATTATGACGGAAGTTAATCAATGTAGCCGACCCCACGTAGTGGGATAAGGATAGGTTGTTGTCCTACTCGGTAGGAAATTTTGTGGTGTTGGTTTTCGTATTTTTCGGTCACATACACATTTTTGTTTGTGTATAGGTAGTTTTAGCTGAGTAAGATTAATTGTACCTAAGCAAAGCTTAGGTTTAATATCTATGTAGTTGATGATGGCGTAATAGTTTAACTTTATTTATTTTATAAGTAGAGTTTATTTTAGACAAAATAGCCAGTTTATGTTAGTTCTAGCGGAATCTTCAGTTTATGGCAGTTTATTTTATAACATATATAAAGGCAATACTTGGTTTTTGGTGTAGCTTTTTTTATATGAAATTTACCCTTATTTTAAAATATATAACTTACACAATAACTTCCATTGAACTACTATTATCATCTTTCATATAACTCTCTATTAATAACTTTTCACGTAACTTCCATGTAAAATTAATATTAAAATAAAAATATATCATTTATATTTATATGTGTGCAATAAAAAAGCGGACAGACGGGCACTATAATTTCACTATGTATTTGTTAAAAGTAGAGTGACTTACATGAATAACCAACTTCATTAAATTTTTCTCCATGGTCCCTAAATATCTAACGGTCGTCTCTTTTAACAAAATGTACTGGAGTTGTAAATGCAAATATATATTGTCATTTTTATTAATTTTTGGCTCGATTGCATTTTTGATTTATCTATTTTTATTTTATTTTTTAACTTGGTTTATTGGTCATTCTATTTTAACTTTTATGAGATTTTAGTCTCATTTAAATGTCATTTTTCATGATGTAGTAGAAGTTTCAATTGATGATGTTAGATGGCTTAAGTGGCAAAAATGAAATTTTAAAATATTTATAATTTTTTAAATAATAATATAAATTATTGTATTTAAAAATAAAAAAGTTAATTAAATTATACTAAATTTTTTAATTATTTATTATGTAATCAAATAATATTTTAATTGAATATTTGTCAATCAATTGAAAGCATTTTCGTTTACAATTATAATAAGAGAGTTACTTAGTGGTGGAAAAATACCATATTAAAATTAAAAAATATCTCTTTAATTTCAAAAATGTATTTTCAAATGAGTCTCATAAAAACACGTCCCAATTAAGTCTTATCTTATACTTTTTTTTCTTCTAATATTTTTTTTTCCCTCTAAAATTTAGTTCTATCTATGTAATTTTATTTTAACAACTTAATGACAAATTTTAAAGTGTATTTTTAAATTTACAAAGAAGGAATTTAAAAACATGCTACCTTTTCTTGTTAGCCACAATTTTGAAAGTGCATTTTTAGATTCTTCAAATGTGATTTTTAATAAAACAGAACCACACATACTATTCTTCCTCATGATCAAACACCATTTTCTTTTAAAACCCTTATAAAAAATTCTTTCATTCTCAATCAAGTTTTACACTCCAAAACATTATTTTTGTGTTTCATCACATTAAAAGGGAAAAAAGAAGTTGAAATTTAAGGTAAAGATCATTTATTTCATTCCTCATTACTCACATTAATTTGGTTTCTAAGTTGAAAAAGTTATGATGCGCTCGAAAATGCACTTCCGGATTCTAGGAGAATTTCAACGAAAGTGCATTTCCAGAATAGTTTAGTGTTCATTTCAATATATTTTTGAGTATTTTCTGTTGTTGTTTTTCTTAGATATGATGCACCCTGATATTTTCTCCAAATCTATTGTGTCAATGAATGCCAAACATACTGATGTCAAGGAGGTAGATGTTGGTATTCAATTTACAAATGCACAAGAGTTTAAGTTTCGTGATTAGGTACTCCAATGGATTCACATAGAGGCATCCGAATTGGAGTTTGGTGTTGTAATTGAAATGTCTGATCATGGTTCAGATAAAAGACTTGCATTTGTGATAATGAGATGCGAAAGAAGTGGAATGTGAAGAACTCCTCTTTTGAAGTTCAAACGAGATGACACCGGTTCGAGAAAATGCGAGTGTCCCTTTAAGTTGTGTGGTTATATTTTGGTAAGTAAAAAAATGGAAATTTAATGTGATTTGTGGTTTACATAACCATGACATGTGTGACACGTTAGTCAGCCATTCCATTACATGTTGCCTTATTGTTGGGGAGGTGGGGGGAGGAGAAAATCGTTTTGGACATGACATTGAATATGGTGCAGCCCAAAATCATACTTGCAACTTTGAAACGTAAAAGACTCGAAAATATCTTAAATGTCAAGCAAGTATATAATATTCTTATCCTTAACGACAAGGCTTTAAGGGGGACAAAACTAAAATGCAATAATTGTTGAAACTTTTGGATGATAACAATTATGTATCTAGACACCAAACGTGCGAGGATAGAGTAACTGTTCGAGATATATTTTGTACTCATCATGATTTCATAAAGTTGTTTAACACATTTCTTACTGTACTTATCAATGATTCAACGTATAAGACCAACAAGTACAGACTTCCGCTATTGAAAATTGTTGGTGTTACCTCTATCGAGAAGACTTATTATGTCGGGTGATGACACATTGTCATTACATAATATTGGAAAGTGATTTTTGAGGAAATTAGAGGAATAACGAGAAAAATCCAAACAAATATGTGGAAGAATTGAACAAAATTGCACAAGAGTGAGAAAAGTGGAGTTAGTGAAAAATTGGAAGAAAAAACAAGCAAAAGAAGCACATCGCGGGCGCGATGAATACTTACACGGTCACGATGAAGTGCTTTTTCTAACACTCGTCGACTTCTATATAAATGGATTTTTGCTACTTTTTAAGGGTTACAAATTCTAGAGAAAGTGACGACTAAAGAGCTTTTGCGGGTGATTTTGGATAACATTTGAGCCATTGGAGTTTATATTTTTCCTTTATTATGATGTATACCTTTTATCAACTAATGATAATTATCAATTTCACTATGAGTATCTAAGTTATTCTAGATTAAGTCTTTGAGATGAACTTAATTGTACCATGTTGGATCATGTGACTGTTTGAGATCACTTAGATGTTTTTATGTTATAATCTTTATATAATTGTTTTTGTGTGTGTTGACAAACATTCAAATTGATCTTAGATGAGTAAGGATTATTTACTGCAAGTCTACCGATCTGAACTAGGATAATTATTCAAAATAGTAATTAATTAGGAATAGATAATTATAAGTCGCGCCTTTTGAATTAACGAATTTAGAACGCCCGATTTAACTTTGAATTGGCCTAAAGAATTATGAAATTATTGTGTAAATTAGTGAGTTGTACATCAGAGAATTGGGTACAATGATCTTTTTATTTTACTATAATATTATCCTGTAATTGGTATTCATTTAATACACAGTAAGCAACCTTTATAATTAGGGGATTCGATAAAAATAACTAACCACTTTTCCTTATCGAACTTTACTCTGAATGTTTTCTCATATTCGTTTTCGTACCAAATCATAATTGAAAACCGCCTGTTATTTACTTTTAATCGCATTGTTAATACGTTGTTTTAATTCGCAATCCATGTGGAGACACATTATTTTATTACTTCGACGAGACTAATACACTTGCTAGAATTGTCCATCAAGTTTTTGGCGCCCTTTTCAGAGATTGTTGATAATTTCAACAAGGCAATATTTGTGCAACATTTTTAATTTTTAATTTTAATTTTAATTTTGTAGCTAATTTTTTTTCAAAATTTTAATTTTAATTTCTTTATTTTTATTCTGTTTGGTTTGGTGTAGTGCTACTAAGGTATTATTTGTATGATTATGCGAGGTTCAGATTCGATACTGATACCAATAGACTAATAAAACAAAAGAACAATGTTCACGATTCGTAGAGAGAAACGAGAAGCATTTCTAAGTAGGGAAGAACCAAAGGAAGAAAGAGAAGAGATGACAACTCCAACACGACAAACATTGGGAGATTATTGCAGGAGGACTGACGTTGGACAAATATCCTTAAGATTTCAATCGATTAATTCTATAACTTTTGATATTAAGAATTCTATACTTTTATGTTTGCAAGATAACCCATTCGAAGGGCAAGAAACCATAGATCCTTGAGAGAAACTTGCTAAATTCTACGAGACATATTCGATGTGCAAGCCAAATGAGGTGACTGGCGATCATGTAAAATTATGTTTTTTTGGTTTTTCTTTGATAGGTGGCACTAAGGATTGGTTGCAATACATCTCAAACGGTACTACTCTGTAATACCCAGTATTTGATAAAATACTCTAAATAATATTAGTTGAGATCAACTGGGTTCCAGTGTGCTTTGAGAGTTATCTGTTGAGATAATTGGAGTATCTGTTGAACTCAGAGTTGAATTAATTAATATTATCTGACTTCGAGGTTTTATTAATTGGTGCATTAGAGACATTTTAGATACCCTCAATTTTGGACATTTAACCAAGTTAGTCTTACTAACTCTATTGGGATATTTCTACATATCATTTTATTTTATTTTCCTCATCCTTCCAGCTTGTGGGATAAGTAGTAGAAAGAAGGAAATGAAATAGAAAGAAGAAAAAACATAGTAAGAAAAAGGAAAAGAAGAATAGAGAGAAAGAAGAGAAAGAAGGGAGAAGAGGAATAAAACCCTAGAGGAAGAGGAAACTTAATCTTCATCATCAAATCATTTCATGTTCATCATCAACAACTTCTTCATCTTGTGTTAGAGATGGGTTCTAGGTAGAAACTCAAGGTTAGAGTATTCGAATAGAATGGGAAAAGTAGGTTATGATGTTCTTGTTCCATTTCCATGAAAAGTATATGATTCATATTATATTCATAATATTGATGTGAGATTATGGTTTAATATGTTGTTTTATGTGTGAATATATTAACTTTGATGTTAGATTGAGTTGGGTAAGATAGGGGTTTGAAAACCACTTTGAAACTGT